CGGCCCGACTAGCCCGCCGGGAGGCCATGAGAATGGAAAACCAGGCTATGCTGGACGCCGTTAGAGAGGCGAACAGGAAAGCCACTGAGGATGTATTGGAGGCGAACCGCCTGGCGAACATGACGATAATATGAGTCATGTTGGAGGGTGCTACTCCTCTTACTGGGGTGATGGAACCCTACTTGGAGTCTGCTGAGGATCGTGATGTGATTGACCGTCGGCTTAATGCTTTCCGTAAGCATAAGCCACCTTTCTTTGATGGGTCTTATGACCCAATTGCTGCGGCGAGATGGCTACAGGCGTTGGACAAGATCTTTCGGGTCATGCAGTGTACTGATCCGCAGAAGCTGATGTTAACCACGTACATGCTGGAGGGCGATGCCCATGAGTGGTGGATGAACACCTCTCATGCCTATGAGATTCAGGGTCATGTTATGACATGGCCATTCTTCGAGGACTGTTTTTTGGGAAGATACTTCCCTTATGATGCGCAGGAGAGGAAGCAGGGGGAGTTCGACAGGTTGGTGCAGGCTCGTTGTCTGTTGACGAGTACCTGGCAAAGTTTAACGAGCTGGTGAAGTTTGCACACTTTTGGATGGCGATGCCTACTCCGACCTTTTTGGTTGCTAAGTTCCGTAGGGGACTTAGTGAGGAGATAGGGTGCCTCTTGCTGGAGCGGCTTCGAGATATTTTGGGACACTGGTGCAGTAGTATCGGGACATCGAGGATGTCTATCTGACGAGTAAGGCCAAGAGAGCCAAGATTGCCAAGACAAAGGGAACGAGTAGTTCCACTTCCTGGAAAGACAGGAAGTTTGCTGGAAAGGGCAAAGGGAAGTCGTTTGCGGCTAGGCAGGCGCCTGGCTAGTTCAAGAGGACTTCTTCGCAGCAGGGAGGATTTGCTAGCCTTCCACTCCTAGGTGTTCGGGGTGCGGAAAGGAGCATGCAAGACGTTGTGCTACGGGGCAGCTGATCTGTTTTCGCTGTGGCCAGGAGGGCCACTACTTCCGAGACTGACCGTCGTCGATGGCAAGAGCGACAGTGATTCAGGCAGTTCCGTTACAGATGGTTCCTTTGACTGCTATAGCGGCACCCGTTGTGCCACCTGCTACCGGACGTGTGTACACTTTGGATCGGCAGCAGTCAGATCGAGCTTCGAACCTTGTTAGAGGTACTGTTTCCATTGGTTGTTCTGCTATTGATCTATTATTTGATTCTGGGGTGACGCATCCCTTCATCGCGACCCCGATTGTTGTGGGGCTTGAGTTACCCATTGTTGTGCTTTCTCCACCGTTGCGGGTGACTACCGCCACTGGAGAAAAGTGTGATACCTCCACTGTACATCGAGATGTCGTGTTTCAGTGGGATGACCGTGACTACTTGGTAGATCTGATAGGATTGTCGATGGCTAATTTGGAGATCATCCTTGGCATGGATTGGTTGTCCAGAAACTGTGTGATGATTGACTGTTGTGCCTAGCGAGTGATGATGTCTCCGTGTGATTCCGCAGCCAGTTCCTCGCCTTTTATTTCTGTGCTGCAGGCTAGGAGAGCCTTGTGAGCAGGGTATTTGGTTATGTTATGTTGGGAGGTTTGGTGAGTGGGACACAGGAGGATATCAATGACATTCTTATGGTAGGGGAATTCCTCGAAGTGTTTTATGAGGAGATTCCTGAGTTTTCGCCACAGCGGGAGATAGAGTTCTCCATAGATTTGCTGTCTGGTGTGGGGCATATTTCTCTAGCTCCATACCGGATGTCGCCACCGGAGTTGGCGGAGCTGAAGAAGCTCATTGAAGATCTTTCGGCGAAAGACTTCCTTCAACCGGGCGTGTCTTCCTGGGGAGCACCGGTCATTTTGTTAAAAGGAAAGATGTCTTACACCATTACTTAATCATGATGGTGCCTTGTTTGAGAATGTGAATTTCTCTTCAGGGAATTTAAGTGTGTAACACTTGAACTTTGTGGCAAGGCCACGCGCAATCTTGTATATGCGAGTCTTGTGCATGTACAAGTAGTTTGTGGGTTGAGTGGTCTCCACGACTTTAGGTTCTTATGTTGATTATTGATATGTTTCATAAGTAGTTGGTATGTTAACACCTAGAGTAGTATAAAGCATGAAATAAGTACGATAAATTATGGTAATGTATCAATGTTATTTCACCTTTAACTGACTCTCGATTTTGCAGATACCATGGAGATTGAGGTATACCGTTGCATTGAGTTTTGATTTATTATGTTATTGAAATTGAAAATTTTGCAAGTGTACGTGAACTAAGGTACGTTACTATGTGAATGAGCATGTTAACTAACATGTATTGGTAGAATTGAACATGGTTATGATTTCGTACTGTGGAAGGAATATGAATCCATTTTGAAAATAATGATTTGTAAAATTGTAAGTCTACTCGATGTTAGAGTCATGGAATAGGACCAAACTCACTCAAGTTTTGTGTGGTTTAGAGTATCTAGGGTCAGGTCACCTCTATTGAGAAAGTGACTGGTGATTCCAGAGAATCGAATGACATTTTTGATGTCTTTGTGAAGTTTCGAGTTTTGACGGTGACTTCCTTGTTTGGGGGTGCACTTCTCGAGATGGAGAATGTGAGGGTCGAGATCAAGCATATGGAAAGATCCAAGAGGCGCAAGTGCAGAGAGAGCACCTGAACTTTGTGAAGAATTAGGACGGTGTGTCTTAGAATAAAGAAGGACATAGCTGTGTATGTGTCCAAGTGTTTGATTGTCAGAAGGTGAAGATAGAACACCAGAAACCGTCTGGTAAGCTTCAACCTCTTGAGATTCTGGAATGGAAATGGGAGAGCATTTCCATGGACTTCGTGGTGGGTTTGCCAAAGACTCAGGTTGGCTGCGACTCTATTTGGATCATTGTGGACAGACTGACGAAGTCTGCCCATTTTCTTCCAGTGAAGGTGAGCTTCCCTACAGAGCAGTTGGCCAAACTGTATGTTCGCGAGATTGTGAGGCTTCACGGGGTGCCCGAGAGTATCATCAGTGATAGGGACCTGAAGTTCACATCTCAGTTCTGGGAGGTGCTGCAGGGAGCTTTTGGTACTCAGTTGAGATTGAGTATAGCCTATCACCCTCAGACTGACGGACAGATTGAGTATAACATGTTGAGGGCCTGCACTTTGGAACAGGGTTCAGCATGGGATAGGTACCTGCCATTGGTGGAGTTTTCGTATAACAACAGTTTCCATGCTAGCTTGGGCATGGCACCCTACGAGGCGTTGTATGGTAGGAGGTGTCGGACTCCTACCAGCTGGTCTGAGGTTGGAGATAAGGAGTTGTTTGGCTTGGACTTTGTCCAAGATACTACCCAGCAGATCCAGATGATCCAAGAGAAACTGAAGCAGGCGTAGCACCGCTAGAAGAGTTACTACGATGTCAAGTATCATCCACTAGAGTTCAGTGTGGGTGAGCACGTGTTTGTGAGGCTTTCACTTGTCACCAGTGTTGGTCGGGCCCTCGGAGTGAGGAAGCTGAGCCCGCGATTCATTGGGCCTTACCAGATTCTTGGTAGAGTAAGATCTGTTGCCTACCGGCTTGCCTTGCCTCCGAATTTGGAAAACATCCACGACGTGTTTCACGTGTCTCAGCTTCGGAAGTACATAGCGGATCCTTCGCACGTGGTGCAACCAGATGATGTGAAAGTTCGGGAGAACTTGAAAACTCTCATCGGACCACTCAAGATTCTCGATCGTGGCGAGAAGAAGTTGAGGAGCAAGATCATTCTGATGGTCAAAGTGCAGTGGACAGGAAGAACTCCTGAGGAGTGTACTTGGGAGCGAGAGGACGAACTTCTCCAGCAGTATCCCGATTTTTGAGACAGGTATATTCTGATTTTGAGGACAAAATCCTAAAAAGATGGGGTGAATGTAAGAACCTGCACCGTTAAATTAGGAATTTAATTAATTAATTAAAAGATTAATGAGATAATTCCATGATTGACCCTAATAATTATGTGAAGGCTTAAATAATTATGGTAAGTGATTAATAATGTTGAAAGTCGCTTTTCTGACGAAAAGTGCAGATACCGGTTCTGCTTCGCGGTATAAGTGCGTACCGGTGAAGTATCCCGAAAAATTATAATAAATGCATGAATATTCCTAGATTAATATTTAGGACTAGTATGTCAATTTTGGAGTCAAAATAATGAAAACTGGTGTCAGAACTAATACCGGCAGCGAGAAAAACGCGTACCGAAAAAGTGTTGCGAAAAAATAAAATAAAAATATGAAAATTCCAAGAAAAATATTTAAGTTAAGAATCTAAAATTTTGGAGCTAAACGAAGAGCGAAACTAATTAAACTAATTCTGCTAGTTTAATTTAAGTGACAATATAAATAGAAAAAGGGAGCAAAACCCTAAGGGGGTGTTTGGTTGGGGAAAAGTTTTGAGATAGATGGGTAAGTGGGAAGTGGGAATATGTAGTAACCATGTTTGGTTGAGCCATCTTCTTCACTTACCCACCTAAATAACTTATCTACCAAACCAAGTTGCCTACCTTTTATCATGGATATAGCCGGCGAAACTTGTCCTTTGAGCATGTGGTATTTGTGAAAAGCAACCAATCTTTGGGGATAGGCTTTTGACCAAAAGACTTGGATACCCTCTCTTAAGTGGGTATTTGACAACATTGTAAAGTGGCAGGCCACCGAACAAAATATTTACAAACAGGGTTATTTTCGTAAAGTTACCTAATTTTTCCATCTATATTTTACCTACAACCAAACATAGATTTCATAAAAGTTACCTAATTTCCCCGGTAAATTTTTTTCCAACCAAACAACTTTTTTTTTACATTTTTCTACCTATCTCACTTTCCAACCATTTCTCTATATATCACATTTTCTTATTATTCATAAAATTTCTCCTCAACCAAACGCCCCCTAAGTTTTTTTTAAAAGACTCAGCAGCTGAGTGTGGCAGCCATTTGGGGGGTTTTCTTGGAGTCTTAGTCTTCTCCCTTGGAAAGTCTCCAAAGTTTCCATCTTTTTCCTCCTCTTCTCCATTGAAACATCACCCAACCATTAAAGCTCTAGTCTTGTTGAAGGAGAAACCATTGTTGAAGGATTGTGGTGTTTTCTCAACCTATTTTTCTGTTCTCAAAAGGATCCAAGGTAAACTTAACTATCCCTTTGTAAATCGATAAATTGGTTATATGTTACTGAAACCACTGTGCGCTACCGTCTTTCTTTACATGGCTATTTGCTTTGACACTTTGTATGTACTGGTTTATCGATTGGCGTAACTTTCAATTGAAAATTCTGCACTAACAATTCGGTCAGTCAGTGTTACTTAATAGAGATGAAAGCACTTTGTGCATTCAAGTTGGTCAAAGTTATTTTTTATATATATATATATATATATATATATATATATATATATATATAGAGGTAGGATCCTTTGACACCGGTGTCAAATTTAAAGTTTGACACCGGTGTCAAATTTAAAGTTTGACACCACATCTAAGAGCCGTTAGATCAAAAAAGATCAATGGTGTCACATGCTTATAAATCAGAATCGTTGATCTTTTTTTATCTAACGGCTCTCATATGAGGTGTCAAACTTCAAATTTGACACCGGTGTCTAAGGATCCTGCCTCATATATATATATATATATATATATATATATATATATATAATATTTATATTTTGTGGCTATGTATATATATTTATAAGATAATAATCATCTAAAATTAAGTAAATTAAATGGTATATCTTAGAAAAGATCTCCGGTTCGAATTGAAAAAAAGAAAATAATATCTGATTGCCTTGGAATTTTAGAATATGTATATTGATACTATGATGGTCATTGAACCAGATCTGTGAGTGCATTAGATTCTATTTGTGGTGTGGACCCTTGTCATACCGAGTTCGAGTCGGAGGGGCATACGGGTACATGTAAGCTTTCGTGTCCTCAGTTTAGTCATTGTGTGGTTCCACCATATCCCATGGGGGAATGGTTTATATGCATGATGTGTTTACATGCTTTGATAATTGAAAATGATGTTGAGCTTTATGTGCAATTGCTTATAATATGTATGTGTTGTTCCACTTTGACGGTTAGCTTGAGTATGTGGCGTCATACAAGACGATGACACTGTGGGTGGGTACAAGTGGCGTCTTGCATTAGTGTGGGTAATAGACGTATTACTGCATTTCTCTGGCCAGTAGATTAGTATTGACACACATGACATGATTATCTGCTGCATTGCACTATTTTGGAACTTATATTGTTTAACTATTTTTGGAACTTATATTGCACATGTAAGTGAGCTTGGGGTGGAAGATCCTTGAGGACCCTTTGCCTTACTGAGATTTCTGCTTAGAGATCTCACCCCACGTTTGGTGCGCTTATTTCAGGTTCAAGTAACCCAGGGGTCGAGATCTCTAGCGGCAAGAGGCCGGAGCTTAGTTGATATTTCTGCCTATGATATTTATGTTTGGATGTTGGATGATATTTGTTGCTGTTATGCTATTAGTTTCGTGTTATGGATTTTGAGCTGAGACTCTGTTTATTATGTTACTATTTGGTGAGCATGGGGATTGTCCATGCCACATTGACTTGGCTTTACGTTTTTAGTTGATTCGAGTTGTATAATTGTATCAGGATTATGTCCAGACTACGTGTTGTAGATCCGTGACTTAGATACTCACTTATTTATTCATGAGGTACTTTCAGTTAGCTGTCTTTTGCAATTTACATAGAGGCGATGTTTTTATGAAATTGATTAAGTAATTAACTTGGCTAAGTTAATGATGTCATAATTGAAAAGTAAAAAGTTATTCCGCATATTTTAATTAAGCGTGGCTTAATACGATGATATGTTAACAAACCGGGTTAACACGGGGTGTTACATGGGAGGTTCCTCACTTTGTCTAATTTGATGATAACAAATAAGAGAAGTTAAATTATCTAACAGTTTATTTAATTTTTAAAAAGTTATTGCAGCACCTAGTTTCTAATGAATTATAATGAAGAAAATGCAACATAGTTGTCATGAAATCGTGAAGAACGAAGTTGCAAGATAAAATCTTAGATTTCATGTAATGATTGGATAAGGTGAATCTTGATCATGCATTGGGTTAGAATCTTTAAAGTTTTAGAAATTAAGTAAAGAAGATTTAAAAGTTTTATTTTTAATCCAAATAGATTTTTAAGATAATTTTTATTTGAAAAAGAAAAGGTTTATTTGAAAGAAATTTTCTTTTTAAAAGATTTGATTTGATTTTATCTATTTTTGGAAAATATTTTGAAGATTTTGATTTTATTTTCAAAAATATATTTTGAATTTTTGTTTAAAAAAATCACGATAATTTTGATATTTTTCCTTAGGATTTGATTTTGAGAAAAAATTTATAAATACCATATCTTGAGTCCTTATTCAAATGAGCATTCAAGAGAAAAATGTTTTGTGAGAATTTAAGAGAAAAAATGCATTGAGAATATTATGAATATTTCTTCTTAAGACGCATTTATAATAATTTGGAAACCAAGGCATGAGCAGATTCATCGAGTCCATCAGTTAGGTTTTATTTGTATCTATTTGCTTATTATTTAGAAGTGTGTAAGGTAACCAATTTTAATTGGATTTTCTAATTGACCTTGAAAAATATCGTGTCTTAAAAATAAGTCGGTCTTTATTTATTGCGAATAAAGATCGGAGCTGCGGCTTCATAGAGTCTTTGATTAGACTCTGTGAGAATTTCAGGGGTAGGGTTCCGAAAAACTAGGATAAGGTTTCAGGTTAATTCTTATATAAGGGTTGAATATGGTCTATTATTGTACTTTGAATTGATCTATAATGAATTTGTTTCTCAATTGGATATTGGCATCCAAATTTGGGTCATGAGTTTTTTTTTTTTTTTCAATTGGGTTTTTCCCACGTCAAAATAATTGTGTTGCTTCTTCCCTTTATTTTTTATTTTATCGCAATTATATGTTTTCTAAATTGCAAATTTTAAAATAACCAAAAAAAATTACAAAATTTTCAATAAATTCAATTCACCCCTCTTAAATTCATCCGGACCAACAATATGGAGGGAGAGTGACCATTTTGCCACACCTGGTAAAAAAATTTACCAGACTGCCACGCCAACAGTAAATTTTGCCAAAATGCCACGCGGCATATTTTGCTACACTGTGTAGCGAAATATGTTTGCATATAATTCGCTACACAGTGTAGCGAAATATGCCATGTCAGGCTGCACAGTCAGCAAAAATGACACATGTCAAGCAGGTAGAAATCAAGCATAATTCGCTACACAGTTTAGCGAATTTCTATCTGCTTGACACATGTCATTTTTGCTGACTGTGCAGCCTGACATGGCATATTTTGCTACACTGTGTAGCGAATTATATGCAAACATATTTCGCTACACAGTGTAGCAAAATATGCCGCGTGATATTTTGACAAAATTTACTGTTGGCGTGGCAGTCTGGTAAATTTTTTTACCAGACGTGACAAAATGGTCACTGTTCCAATATGGACTACACAATAAATGGAATTGATTTTACTCTTAACAGATAGAAGGCATATGATTTTTTTAATGCTAAAAATATTGTATTCACACACTCATCTATCACTGTATCACATCTGCTTAATAATGCGACAAAAATTTGTGTTGTGATTGTCAACCGTAAATTTCTAATAATGTTTAATAGTAAAAATCGACTCAATAATAATGAAAAATAATACCAAAAATCTGCTCAATAATCTTAATAATGCACTACTTTATTGACTTTTTTTTTCGTATATCAATCAACGATGAATATTTATCCCATATTCCTATATAATATTTCCCCTTATTAAAATTAAAATTAAAATAGCAAATACCCACATTCCTATATAATATTGCCCCATATTAAAATAAAATAAAAATAGATTCATATGATATTAAAATTAAAAAAATGAGTGGAATAAATGCAGTAAAATAAATAACATAAATTATGTTTTTTTCTAATAGGGAATAGCTCAAAGTCCTCACCATTAAAGGAGTAGTGAAAATTGTCTACCGACAAAAAATAAAAAGGAAAGGTGTAGTGAAAATTTATCCTTCTTTCATGTGGTGAAATTACATTGAGCTGCAATGTGGTAGATGCATGGGACCCCTCACCTATATATGTACGCCTGAACCCGTATTCTGTACCCTTGCAATGTTAAAAATAAAAAAATAAAAAATTTGTTCTGCGCAAATTCCAGAGAATTTATGAATTAGGATTAATGTGAAGAAATAAAAGTAACAAAGTTTATGAAAGTTTTATGAATTAAGAGCTAAAGACTAAATTAATACTAACTTCTGACTAATAACTAAAAGCAAAGTAAAAATAAACTAAGAGTGCACTCAAGCACAAAAGAAGTCAAGTAACAAAATAGATTAGGATCAATTTCTGCAATATTGTAATTTCACCAAAATGCAGTAACAATACTACAACAATAATCCATTCAGTAATCAGAACACTAATGCATGCAAGGGCTCTCACCAACAATATATATATACTAAGTCCCACATCTCTATGGCCAACATAGTTATGAATGCATTAAGTGCAAGTTCCATTTGATTTTATGGTGTGAATGATCTCTCTATCCATAAGTAACTAATTAAATTAGTTAAACCACAATGCTTAATAACTTTCTGAGTTCACCTATATCTCTATAGCCCAAACCCTAAGTATCTTGCAGCTCTCTCTCCATAAGTCAACAAGCTTAGAGATAATTTAACACTTTATTAAACAACTGAAAGGAAAATCATGCAACAAAGTTTAGGCAAATTGATTACATCACAATAAGATTACTCTATCACCCAATCCTAACAATTTAGCTCATACTTGGGTGGAAGAAATAACAAAGAAAGAAAAGGATTCCATAAAGTTAAATTAAAGAAAGCAGGGACGTTGCTGTAGCACTGCTTTCGCAGCAACCATGAGCTCCACTACCATCAACCTTGCCTCAGTCGTCAGAATAATGCAACAAGTTACTAGGTTCAATGATCTCTCAATTGAACCCTAGCTCCTTCCTTTGATCCACTGGATTTCTCTCAACGAACCCTCAAATCCATTCCAAGTGTTTCCCCACTTTCTCTCTCTAAAAGAGAGGCTGTCCAGCCTCAAAGAGAGACTCTCCAACCTGTTTGATGTGTGTAGGCTTCCTCTTTTTATAGACTTTGATGAATTGGGCTGTAATTAGCTCTTCAAATCCATTACAAATCATGTTCAAATCTGCTCTATTTTGCTGTAGCAATGATTGAAGATACAACTCTGTATTGCCGCAGCGCTGAAGATTCTTTCCTTATGTGCTGCAGATATGATTGAAGATATATCTAGGTATTGCTACAACGTTGAAGATTCTTTCCTTATTTGCTGCAGCTATGATTGAAGATACAACTCTATTTTGCTGCAGCGTTGATTAGAGATTCTTTCCTTATTTGCTGCAGCTATGATTGAAGATACAACTCTGTTTTACTGCAGCGCTGATTGGAGATTCTTTCCTTATTTGAAGCAGTTATGATTGAAGATAGAGCTCTGTTTTGCTGCAATGCTGACAGAGCATGCTGTTGCATATCTCATCAGATTCTTTCCAAATTTGTGATTCAAATTTGAATTGGATTTGTAATCGTTGATTTGATGAAGATTGGATTGTGATTTCTTGAATGTCTTTGAGCGCGTATTCTGATTAAGTCTTTGATTACACGTTTAGAAGCTTCTTCCATCAAATTGGGCTTGGATCCATAGCTTGCTGGTGATGATGTCAACAATATTGGAATGCTTTTCGATGCTACAGCATTGACCTGCAGTAAAATAACAAATGCATTTAAATGTTTCCTATACTCAATTTATATCCAAATATCCATAATTAACATAATTCTCAATTAAATCATGAAATCATAAAATTCATGCATTAATCATATAAAATCAAGAGAATTATATGTAATCATAGCACCAAAACATCACAATTAAGCCCAAAAATAACTCTTTTTCAGAGTGTTATCAGTTTGTGCTGCGCAAATGGAAAAGTTAAACTTCCTTTGTTAAAAGTTCCCCTGGGTGCGTTGCTTAAATTGCATGATAATTCAAACATGAGGAGCCGCCATTTTTTACGAAATATTCGAGCGTACAATATGATATTTTCCTTCACCTCCTTTGGAGAAAAAGTGGATGGATCAGTAAATAAAGGTTCTGGCCCTTATTGTTTTAGAGTTGGGGGACGAGTGCATCATTTAATAGGCAGCCTTATTCCAGCTGATGGTCAAACTCCAAAATTTACTCAACTATATATATATATATATATATATATATATATATATATATATATATAATATTGAGAATAAAGTTTACAACAGATTGGGTTGTTTAAGGCATGTTATTTTCTGATATATTGTCATTACTCAGTTACGGAGTATATTTTCTGTTCTTTTACTATTTTTTTACTTATTTTTTTGTAATTATTCTTGCAGTTCCATAAACAGTGAAGATATGCTTGATCTTGATATTGTCCTAACATTGAAGGAAATGTTAGATAAACACAACAGTATTGCTCTATCTTTTAGGTACACTAGAGATCGATATAGGGAAGATGACTTCAGT